GGGCGTAGCTGTTTGTATCCTCCCACTGCTGAAGTAGACCTCTCTCTCTCTCTCTCTCTAACAAAATAACTTTTTTTTAAAATTGTCTTTGGTTTCTCAGTTAAAAGAGAACTAAGAACCAGATCCAAGCAGATTTCAAAACAGTACACTTTGCTAGTTACCATTTTACTTTTTACTATGCAATGTTTACTTGATTCTTAACTACCACCTCCCCAAATGTTTTTATAGGGTGATCAACAGTGACATGAAGGAAAGAGCATAATGAATGCACCATTTTTAAAAATAGTTTAAATCCTAATTTAAGCTCAAACCACTTTTTTGGTGTAAAATCCAATGAATTAAAATTGGAAGGAACTAAGTAATAAAAAGGGAAAATATTATCTGGATTTTGAGCGAAAGGACAAATCCAAATAGAAAATATCACAAGTTACCTTTATTTCTATTAATACCTTTATCATGAGTATAATCTAAACTTAAAAGTTTAATATATTGCTTCTTGAAAACAGTGCACACACCTAGTCTAACCTAATGATTTTTCCATAAAGAAAAACTGAATCTTCTTCCCACTAGAAGAAATGTTAAACCATTTTCTTAGAAAGAAGCTAAGAAAAGGGCCTGGAGTATATCCTCCTTATTCATCCCTCTCCCAATTTGAGCACTGCCTGTTATACTGCTTAACCATGGAAGGAAAATGGTTTAAACAAAAACAAACAAACAGCGATTTAGCTTGCCTGAGCTGAAAGTTTCACACACTTGAAGACCACTCAAGCTCTCATCACCCTAGAGAAGTTGGGTTGTGGTAGGTTTAAAGTTAACTGAGCAACAAGCGGTTTGGCTGCTCATTCCACCATATTACTCCCCTGTGCACTTTATTATTATAGCACCAGAAGATTCCTCTGCATTTGTAATGATGTGATCAGAACAGGCTATTGGATTAACTATATTTTTTCAGTATTGTTAGTAATTTTTTTCTTAAAAAAAAAAAAAAAAAAAAAGAAACCAAATATTCCCTCGTGTGTCAGAAGATCGATTGGCTTCACCTTGAAAAACATTTCTTCTCACAGTGAAAAGTAAGAGCCATGCTACACCTGATACCAGACACTGTCAAATTTAAGATGCTGAAACTCTAGTATTACTCTGGACATGGAAGAAATCCATTATGGGATAGTTGATGTGTGTGGATCTGATGTACTTTGTGACTAGGGTGACCAGAGGGGATAAAGAAAATATCGGGACACATGGTGGGGGAGGGAAGGGATCCTGCAGCGGAGTCAAAACAAAACAAAAATAGGAGTGCGAAATATCGGGACAAATTGCATCCCAACCAAACATCGGTCGGGACGCAGGACAAAACGCCTAAAGATTTTATCGGGATGTCTGGTCACCCTATTTGTGACCAACTGGAGGGATCTCAAACAAATGCATCATCTAATGCGGGGGTGGGCAAACTACGGCCCCCTCAGAGCTTTGGATCCGGCCCGCGGGATTGCCCCCTGTGGAGCCACGGGCCCCGCGCCGCTCTAAGCAGCGGCCGGCCCAACGTCCCTGCGGCCTCCGGACCCTTGCCTCCAGGCACCGCCCCCCCCCCCGCCAGCTCCCATTGGTCGGGAACAGGGAACCACGGCCAATGGGAGCTTCAGGGGAGGTACCTGGAGGTGCGGCAAGGGCAGCACACGCGGAGCTCTCCCTCAGGGGCCGCAGCACTTCCTGGAGTGGCGCGGGGCCAGGGACAGGGCAGGCATGCAGGGAGCCTGCCCTGGCCCTGGTGCGTGCCGCTGCCACCCCAGAGCCCGAACCCTTCCTGCACCCCGCCCCACAACTCCCTGCCCTAAGCCCCCTGCCTGCACCGTGCACCCCAACTCCCTGCCCTGAGCCCCCTTGTACACCCCGCACCCCTCCTGCACCCCAACCCCTGTCCTAAGCCCCCTGCTGCACCCTGCACCCCTGTGCACCCCAACCCCCTACCCTGAGCCCCCTCCTGCAGTCTGCATTCCTCCCCTGAGCCCCTTCCTCCAATCCGCACCCCTCCTGCACCCCAACCCCCTGCCCCAGCCCTGCATACAATTTCCCCACCCAGATGTGGCCCTTGGCCCAAAAAGTTTGCCCACCCCTGATCTAATGGAACAAAAGTAAAAGTAAATTTACTTTGGGTGCGATCCTCAAAGATCCTTAAGTGCCAGAGTCCTGCTTGTAGGTACCACTGTGATCTGCAGAACTCCTGCTTGGCAGCCGCCTACCCACATAGGTCCCTAAATTCACTTGGTGCCACAGGCGCCGACTTTCCTATGTGCCGGGGGGTACTCGACCCCCGGCTCTGCCCTAGGCCCCACCCCCAGTCCACCCCTGCCTCTGGGCGTGTGCACTGTTGCCTTACTCTAAACGCCTGGGTGCTTCTCTACAGCGTAAGCCCCAGAGCGATTCACAAACTAGGGAAGGTAGGGGTTTGGCCACCTAAGTCACGTGTGGGAAGCCTAATCTGGTTGGCGGCCTCTGAGCCCCACCTATTGGATCAGGCCCCTCAGGAGAGTTCACACAAAGCAGCCAGTGCAGAAGACCCTCCCTTATAACCTTTAGCCTAGTGGATTAGGGTACTCACTCAGAATGTGGGAGATCTCTGGTTCAAGTCCCCATTAGTCCTAAGGAAGAAAAGGGATTTGAACAGGGATTGGCCACCTCTCAGGTGAATGCCCTAGCCACATGGCTTCCTACCCAGTAGGGGTTTTAATGTATGTGCTGCCTCCCCATTTCCTGCTCTGTGCTTAACTCTCTTAGCTTGTTGAACAGTACATTTAGAAGAGAGCCATAGGGTCAGCTGAAATGTGCAATAAGTTATTAAGAAATAAGATTTGGAAAATGGCAATTCAGAAGAAAAGCTTCATATGATGTCTTGATCTTCCTTTGGGATCAAAAAGGCATGGCAGTATTTTTCATGGTGAGAGAGATTAGATTTCCTCATTTCTTTTTCCTTTAACAGACCCAGCTGCTTGATAAGAATTGTATGAACAATTTAAAAGGAATTTGTTCCCTACAGGCTGTGAAGGTTTTAGCCAAATTGAAACTGGGGCCTGTTTTCACATATTTCAGTTATAAAAATTAGTGAGATATACAGTAAGTCACCTGATGGACAAGTATTTTTAAGGTGCTTTTGTTTTATCATATAGAAAACTTTTTAAAGAGTGCCAAAGACCCAGCATGTTTTATGTACCGCTATATAGCAGCACTGCAGA